AAGAAAGGCACAGAAAAGAAAAGAGGAGGAGTGAAGTGGAGAAATGAAAAGCAGGATGGTTACAAGTTTCTCTACAGAAGGTGGGACACCCAGGTCTTCCCCAAGCACACACAGCCTGGCTTCCTCCTTCCTCCCAGCTATAGAAGTCACATGGAGCTCTGGGACTGGGACTTGGGTCAAAGCAGCAGGCTAGGGCAGGCCCAGGGCAGAAAAGTGGGAGAAAACATGAAATCAGGGGCCTGGACTCCTGAGCCTCAGTTCCCTCCTGCTTTTTATCCCAGGCCCAGTGGGAAAGCAGAGGATCCATGTGACCTAGTGTGTTTTCTGATGTTGTAACAAAATACCCGAGACTGGTGAGTTTATGAAGAAGTTTATTTGGCTTATGGCTCTGAAGTTGGGAGATCCAAGAACTGGGGCTGTGTCCTCTCAGCATCTGTCAGGGGCCTTTTCACTGCATCATAGCACACAGCAAGAGCATACTGCAAGGCAACAGGGCAAGCATGCTAGTTCAGGTCTTTCTTCCTCTCCTCATAAAAGCCACAAATGCCACAATGGGGGCTCCAGCTTCATGCCTGCGTCTGATGCTAACTACCTGCCAGACCCTACTGCTAAATTTATACCTGACACACAGTTTTGGAGATCTGGTTTCTAACACTTGAAGGAGGACACATGCAAGTCACAGCATTCTTCTCTAGTGTAACTGGCCACTTGAGAAGAGACCCCTGCAATGTGACACTGAAGCCCCCATAAAAGGGTCCTCTTACAGCTAGGGCCAGCAGGTACACCACGTGTATCTTCCTGTGAAACATGGAGACCCCAAAGTTGTAGGGAACTGTTCCCTTCATCCCGCTCTGTTCCTTTCTAAGGGCCTTGCAGCTGCCTCTTCTTCTGCTGGGAATCCACACTCTGGAGCCTCATCTTCTAACTGCAGCTTGGGGCGTTGGTCCAGGGCGACTCAGAAAGACCCCAGGCCCAGAGCAGAACCAGCAGGATGGGTGCAGCTTGGGCAGTGTCCCTCTCCATCACTCTGAGCCACGGGCCTGAAGCCCGGCAGGAGCAGATGGCCTTTGTTTGCTGGTTGGCCTAATGTCATAAATGGAGCAGCGAGCTGGCCCCAGCTCCCGTCCTCGCTGGAGCTCACTCAGACCCCTCACCCCAGCAGAGAACTTGGCACCACCACCAGGCCTCAGCAGCGGGCCGAGGGCTTGCTCGTATTTCACACCTTGGTTCTATTCGCGTCCACAGACGGTTCATCTTGTTTTGAACCAGCTTTTGGAGTGTTATCTCCTTTTCTCCTTCCCTTCCTTTTTCTATTTTATGTATCTTTATTGTATTTGGAGCAAGGAAGTTGATCAGATACTAATTCACCAGGCCATTTGAGAGACCGGCGTGTTTTGATTTCTAATAATTTTTTATATGAAAAAATAGGGCTGCAGGTAGTCGCTTCTATTTCAGAAAACTAAAGCTGGGGCTAGAACACGTTGTAGGCCTCAAGGATACCCAGAGGGATGAGCACAGTCAGACCGAGGGGACCAGCCCAAAGAGACAATGGTTACACAGGACTTGAATCCCTGTGTCTCTAAAGATGACACACAGGTGGATAACAAACATATGCAAAGATGCTCAGCAGCTCTAATCACTAGGGAAACACAAAACTATGAGATAATTCTTCACACCTGGGAGGATGGATCCTATCAAAACATGACAAAACAAAAACACCCAACAAACAAAATGACAAATGGCAAGGCTGCAGAAGTCTGTGTGCCCTACTGAAAGAAATGTCCAGTGGTACAGCCACTGTGAAAAACAAGTCCCTACAAGTTAAAACTAGAATTATATAATCAGCAATTCCACTTCTGAGACTATGCTTAAGAACTGAAGGCAGAGTCTCAAAGAGCTGATTCTGTATACACATGCTCACAGCACTGTTCACAATGGCTGAAGTGTGGACACTTCCCAAGTGTCTACCAGTAGAAGAGTGAATAAGCCAAATCTGAGGAAAAACAGTGTTAGTCATAAAAAGGAAATTCTGAAATATGCTACGGCATTCATGGACTCTGCAGACATCATGTCATTGTATTACGTGATTAAGTGACATAAGCCAACTGCATTAAAAAAATACTGTAAGAGCCCATTTATGTGGGATAGTTAAGAAAGAGCTAAGAAAGCAAAATGGTGGTTGCCAGGGATGAAGGGCAAATGGGGAAGCACTGTATCGTATCATAGTTTCAGATTTACAAGATGAAAAGTTCCGGAGATGGTTCGTGGTGATGGCTGTACATTATGCATGTATTTAATACCACAGAATCGTACACTTAAAAGATGGTTACGATGATGAAATTTGTGCTTTGTGTTTTTTACAATAAAAAAATTTTTCAGAAAATGAGTCACTGCCACCATCTGAGTTGGAGTTACACCCTGAGTCCATAATGATGTTCCAAAATTACAAATATAAAGTTTTCCAGAGGAAAATCATATGCTTCCACCTCAATCAGCTGATCGACACTTGACTCTCACAGGCACAGACTATAGGACAGCGGGCTTTTGACTTTGGTATCTGAGCCCACCCAGAGTCAAAGGTGCCTGCGTAAAGGGTATTTAAAATCACGTCATGGTTCAAACCAGGCGTGGTGCGTAACCGGTAATCCCAGCACTTGGGAGGCTAAGGCATGAGAATTGTTGCAAGTTTCAGATCAGCCTGGGCTGTGTGAGCCCAAGGCCACCCTGAACTGAATAGCGAGACCCTGCCTCAAAAAGACAAAAAAAAAAAAAAAAAAAAGACAAAACTCACATTATGGCGTAGACTGTGTAGACTGCAGGGAGATGCATTCCAATTGTGACTTTGGGTATTGACTCTTTTTGTCTCTACGAGGAGGCTGGGACCTTGTAAGCATTTCTTCTACAGATCTTTCATGTAAACTGTTCTAGAACCATGACATAAGCTTCAATATCTGCAACAGTGGAGGCAAACCTATGACTAGCATGCCACAGCCAGCTAATTGTCATCAGTGAAAGTTCTAGCAATGATGTGGATCACTGGTCTACCAGGAAGGGAACACCAAGAACTGAGCTCTCCAGATCTGGTGAGGTCACACCTCTGCCAAGAGACCTCACAGGGGCCTCTGCTCTTCACTTCCAAAATAATCCTGTGTCTGTGGCTAATTCAGTCAGGCACGGGGGTCTCCCTGCCTGTCAAGTTTTATACATATGTGAAATACTTTAAGAAAAAAAGCTAAACCTCTGATTATAAAACTGAAAGGGCAGATGCCCTGAGTTAGAAATGGGAAAAGGTAACAAGCAACAGGGCGCTCACTACTGTGTATTACCAAGCAGGTGCCAAGAGATCCTGGCCGTGGTGGGGCCGGGAGGGCAAAAATGTTTTGAAGGACAATTTGGAGGAACTCACCGGGATTTTTTAAGGCTTATCTAAAAGGAACCGGGCGTGGTGGTGCACACCTGTAATCCAGCACTTGGCAGGAGGACTCTCACGAGTTTGAGGGCAGCCTGTGTTACACAGTGACTTCAGTCCAGCCTGAACTGCACAGTGAGACCTGGTCTCAGAGAAAAAAGTCTATCTGGAGCAATCCGAACAAAGCCAACAACAATGGTTGCCTCCACAAGTGAGTGGCCAAGGATTAAGTATTTTAAAATAAGGTACATAATAAAATAAGGTACATAACCAATAATCCAACTTCCAGGACGATCCCATACTGGGAGAGGAACACTAGCGCAGACCTTTCTGAGGCTGCTGCCTGAAGCTGCGCAGGCGTGGCGAGCTGTGGACACAGCACACTTTAGGGCGGCGATGGGCATGTGACAGAGCAGCCGTGACTGGCATCACACAGCACTGAAAGCATTCAGTAGATCTAGAGTGGCCAACACGGAAAGGTGTCCCTAAGAGCTCATGTAATGAAAAAGGTGAGTCATTCAGCATGCATGAGAGAGACACAGCTGTACTTAAAAATTTTCTGTGTGCATAAAATATCATAAAATAGTCTGGAAGAACCACAGCCAGCGGTTCACAGTGGTTACCTTGCGGGACAAGGTGAGACGATCAATCCCACTGCAGCATCTTATTTAACTTACAAGATACCTGTGTACCACATGGACTCTGTTCAATCATTTTGGGAAAGCTTTGCTCTGTCATGTGGCTTTGGGGCTGAGGATGTGGCTCAGTGGCAGAACACTTGACTAGTATGCATAAGGCCTGGCTTCAGTCCTCCAAGCCGGAACAGAAGGGTTGGGTATGCAGTTCAGTGATAGGCAGTGTGCTCAGTTTATGGCAGGCCCTGGAAAAAGGGGGAAGGGGAGGGGAAGAAGGAAGGGCAGGAGAGAAGAGAAGGCTTTGGAGCTGGGGGAGTGAACTCAGCTGAGGGAGCCTGCTGTGGATGTCTGCTTCCCCAAGAGAAGCCTATGACCTTCATTTTATTTATTGATTGATTGATTTGTATTTTTATCGGTACCAGGGATCAAACTCACGACTGCCTGCTTGCAAGGCAGGCGCTTATGCCACTGAGCTAAATCCCCAGCCCTGATGATCATTTTAACATCAAGTGTAAGATCATCCATGCGGTGCTCTGTCCTGCCTTTTGAACCTTTAACTGTTCAAAAAACAAAAACAAAAACACCAATGGCAACCTATGCTTGACTATCAGCTCGACATCCTGGAAACCCTTGTTCCTCACGGGAGCCACGCGAGCCCTCCAGGACGCCTTCCCTGAGATCCTCAGCCCTGCAGCTTGGGCCGCTACTCCCACAGCAGCCGCCTGCAGGCGCGGAGGGCACTGAAGTGCACAGGGAGGCAGCAGCCCAGGCCTGACGCCACAATCCCCGGCCAGGGACTCAGCCATGTGCCCCCAAAGTGCAGCCACCTCAGTTAACACACAGGGCTTCTCCCAGCCAGCAGGACAGGAAATTTCCACTCTGTTGAGCCTGGCAAAAGTGGCCTTGGCCTGTTGCCTAAAGGACAGGGATACTGTAGACAGCCACAGACCACCACCCACGGCTGCAATTGTTTATTGCACAAGAACCTGGCAATACCAATGCAGGGGCGGGCGTTACAAAACAATCCAGACTGACCCAGTTCTACCGCAGGGCATTCCACACCGACACTTCAGCTCTGCACACACGTATGCACACGCACACACAAACACACGTGAACATCCGTGAGCTTGACGCTCCTGTGCCTCGCTGGCTGCCTGCACCCCTGCCCACCTGCTGGAGCAGCCTTCATGGGGACGTGTCCAGGGGATACCAGAGCTAACTGAGGGGAGAGAAAATGCCAAGCCGCACTGAGCAGGGTCACTCAAATCAGCACGTGCACCATGGGTGGACAGGGCTCTCCCTCCAGACCCGGGAAGGACAAGACAAGGGACGGTGACACTGTCCTTACAGCTCCCGGGCGGATCTGAGGGCCAGCCTGGAGGCCCCAGAAGCTGGTGTGCAGCTGGGGCCCTGGACTAGCGAGTGTGCCACCACCGTTACTCCAGCACCCAGAGGAGACTGCACACCCAAAAACCTTAGTCCACAGCAGAATCCCCAAGGTGGAGAGAGCGCCACCAACCACGCCAGGCTGTCGAGGCACTTGGGGCCCTTCTGCTGGTTCTCAGTGGCGTCAGGTCCCAGATGCAGAGAAAGCTTGGCATCTATGCAGAACGAGTGTGCTCAGGGCATGTGCTGTTCCATGGAGGGAACTAAGGCCACCTGGATCTCTAGGGCTGCCAGGGGGGAGCAGTCAGACTCCTCTGCCCCTCCCCGGGGGCCACCAAGGGAACTATCTAGCAAAGGGAACCCTTCCCTACAGACTGCATGGGTTGGGAGTGGCATTCAGAACACCAAGCCCTTCCTCTGCGTTGAGCTCAGGGACTTGGCCACTGGGCAACTGAGCGGCCGGGTCAGGCCTGCCTGAGCTTGCTAAGCCAAGCTGTGAGGAGGAGCAGCTTTTGTACCAGCAAGGCTGGGTCCCCCAAGGCCCTGGCACACCTGGGGCTCCGCCTCCTCCACAGGAAGTGGCAGCAGCACACCAAAAGCAAAACAAAAAGCGACCCTACACACAAACGCTTCAAGTTTATGTAAAAGGACAACTCGGAGGGAGCTTGCGGTTGCCCGCCCACTGACCCCCACGCAGGTGGCCGGTCCCACCCTGTGTCTGCTGAGAAGGGATGAGCAGAGGCCCTCGTCTTTGCGGCCAGCCTGTGTCTTTCCTCAGATCTTTGTCTCATGTGGACCCATGGAAAGTTCTAGTTAAGACAGAACCTCTTCTGCTGGCAAAGACCCGGCTCTCTCAGTCCAGAACAGCCACCCGAAAGTGGCCAGTTCCTCCTCTAACTAGGACATGAGGCCCAGGCTCCTGCCACGTCCTTTGGGACCGGGCAGCTTCCCTCGCACACTCCTGCGCACCCAGGTTGGTCCTAAGGGAAGGGGAGAGTTTTGCAGGGGTCACCCCTGGACTTTGCGACACGTGGCAGGGCCAAGGTGACTCGGGGCTTTATTCCAGACTGCCACCTGCAGGTAGGAGGGCAGGTTCTGCCATCGGGGATGACGCTGTGGTCCCATGCAGGGCCACCATCCACAGGGCCTTCCTGAGGGCTGTGTGGCCGGCAGGCTGTCAGGCAGGGAGGACTCGGGACTACGTATGTGCTGGGGGCTGGGGAGGGGCAGCCTCGGTTACTCCTGTCCAAAGCCCTCGGTCTCCTCAACAGCATACAGCAGCTTCTCCTTCAGCTGTTCGTAGCTCTTGTAGGGCGGGAGATCCAGACGGTTGAAGCTGTAGAGAGGGGAGGGCGGAAAGGGGTCACAAGCAGCCCAAGGAGCTCAGTGGCTGGGTGCCCACACTCCAGGAGTGACACGCTGCCAGGCAGGACCCAGCACAGGGCCCTCGACCTGTGTGTCGCGCTCAGTGCTGCAGGCTCCTGGACCCGCAGGGCGTCAGGGCAGGGCACAGTGCGGGGGGCACACTAGGTGGGGCACTTGGGGCAGCAGCTCTTGCCCAGAGGGTCCGAGCCCTGAGGCAGAGGTAGACACATGTCACAGTCCCACCTCTCCAACCCAAGACCCCTGAGCCACCCAGACGTTGTCAGCGCGGAAGCCCTGAAGCTGCCGTGTCCACTGGGCCATGAGAATCGTCTGTTCCTTGAGGCTTTAACACCTCCCACCAAACCAGCCTGCTCACCATGTGTGGCTTCTGGGCAGCCAGGTTTCCTTGCCGACCTTGTCAATGCAGAACTTCTGAGGTCCGTTGCTCCCTGTTATCCAAGGTACAGGCACCATTTGTCAGCAGCACCGGCCTTCCCAAAGCAGGGCCCTCACCCCCAGCCAGGGCACTGGCGGGATACAGAAAACGCACCAATGAGCTCGGCGAATCCCCCGACAGGCAGGCGGCAGGTTCCGGTAACGAACTGCAGCAGCCGGATCCTTTTCTCGTTGTCCATCTCCTTCACCACCTGGAAGGCCACAAACAAGGCCCAGTCTGGAGACCCCCCCAGCCCCAGCTTAACACAGAGCTCGACGGCTGCAAGCCAGCTGGGGCCCACTCTGGGCCGAGAACACAAAACCACGCTGCGGATGGTGACGGCCACAGCCAGGAAAGGTCGGCCACGCTTCCTCTAAGAGGCTGCGTCTGTAGGACACTCACACCCGGCCGTGGGACTTCTCTTGGTCTCAGGAAGGTTTGTTTTTAGGGAAATGACATGTTCTGAGATTAGTGGGATAGGCACACGACAGTGACATCGTGAAGGTACTAGAAGCTGTCAGATTGCATAACAAAACATTTATGTTGGTGAATTGCATTGTATGTGAATTTCACCACTACAAAACATTTATATATATATATGTAAGTACACATGTAATAATGTAGCTATTCTTTTTTATATATGCTACACTTGATAATAACAATGGAACCTATACAAATATAAAGGCATTTGGATCCTTAAACAGGAGGTGACAAGCTCACTCTGTTTTTCTGGAGCCAAGTGCCTGCCTTCTCATCCACCTGGTGGGAGGGAAGCAGAGGACCAAGGGCAGCTGTGCTTCCTGCCTGCAGACCCCGTGGCCCCCACAGCTGGCCCCAGTGTGACCGCAGGGGACAACTTCCTGTCACAGTCCCCTCCCATTCTCCCCACGGCTGTGTTCATCATCTCCTTCTGCATGCTGGGGAAGGTGAAGGAGCCTCAAGCCTGAGGTCTAATCAGGTCCCATTTCCTCAGAGTGAAAACGTTCCTACCAAGACATCTTGTTTGTCGCAGCCCGGTAGGCACAGGACCCAGCACCCACCTGCCAGAACCACTGGATCTGCTTGCTGTTCTTGGTGTAGTGCCGGTAGATAGTGTTCTTCTGCCAGTCACTCATGTCAATCTCCTGCATGCCACACAGCATGAGCTGCAGGGAGGAACGTGTCAGGGAGGAGAGTGCCGGCGACCTGGCACCGGCTCCCTTCCAGGCCAGGCCTCGGCCATATCCACCAGCTAGCAGGAGAAATCCTCCAGAGCTCTCCGACTGGCTATTTCTGCTGGAAGTTTTAATAACATGGGTGACCCAAGTCCCTGCTCTCTCGGTACAAGTGTCTGGAAAACTGAAGACTGAGACCCCCACAGAGACCATCTGCCTGCCCTCCACCTCCATTCTGCTGAAATCTGGGGTTCAGTCAGTGGGTCTCTTTGGGTGCACAGGAGCACATCAGAGCTGGAGTGCACCAGAGGCAGGGGTGCAGGGTGTCCTCAACACTCACCTCTAGCTCTTTCTCATCAAAATAGCGCAGCCACTCCAGGGGGGCCACCTCATTGAAGCCATCTAGGAAGGCTTTGGTCTGTTCTTCCACGCCTCGGGTGAAGCGCCAGTCCGTCAGCAGCCTATAACCAAAGGCAGCTGTTGCTGGAGCCCGGCGCCCCACTCAGGTGACAAGCAGCCCAGCTGGAGGGCATCATTTGCCCCTACTGCCACACCTAGACCAGGGTGTGCAAGGCTCCGGAGCACAGCCCTGAAAGCCTCACAGTAACCCCACAATCCCGAGTCTCTGAGGTCCCTCCCGTCCTCCCGCATGGCTCGCTGAGCTGCAGACGTGCAGACGTGTGGAGATGAAGGTCACACCGAGGTCAGAAGAGTGTGCGGGGCAGGCTGGCACAGCAGCACACACAGGGTGGCGGATTTATGCATGCGGGACACAGAAAGCCACTCAGTCAGGAGACAGGTAGTGACAACTTCTCTTCAAACGAAATTCCCTAAAGCCAGGAAGTCTCTCACATGGAAAAAACACCAACTGGGAGCTGCTAACCACAGGCCTGGGGCCCAGCTCCCCTAAGTCGCATCATCACAAGCCCAGACACGGGCTGCCCACCACAGCAGGTCTAACTGAGAGTTTCTTGCAATGTACAGAGACCTGCGGCCCCCATGTGGGGGCCTGGCCAACAAGGGGACCCCAGACAGAGCAGGAAGCTCCTTCTCTGCAACCCATGGGTCCCACTCCTGCCCTGGCTCACATGATATATTCTTCCTTGTTCTCCTCTGTGACACGGATACTCTCGCCGCCCTCCTTCAGCTCGTGGGTTGTCACCTTGCCCAGGATCTCCATGTCCTGGATGAAGAAGAGCTCCAGGCCGCACTCTTCTAGATTGTTCTCTCTGGGGAGCAAGATGTCCACCTTGGCAGCGTCTCCCTGGGTCCTGCCCCACTCCTTGCTGTTAGCACCCCAGGGCACCAAGGACTCATAGGTGGCCTCGATCTCTGAACAGTGGCACAGACATGTGATGCAAGGGGAGAACTGCCCCACAGGGGCCACCCATCCCCACAGGCACCAGATGAGGTGGGTGAGCAGAGTCACACAAGGCCAGCCAGTGCCCCTGCATGCAGGGCAAGCAAGGGACTCACTTGATCCAGAGGATGGAGTTATAGAACTCAGGGTCGATGGATTCCAGGTCTTTCAGCGTGGGTCTCTTGTTGAGCATCCGCTTGTAGAAAGGGAGGGTGAAGCCTGTGTCAATGAACTTCCCATGGTACAGGGCCTGAGGAAGGAAGAGGCCTGGCTAAGACCTTGGGGACAGCATCTGAGGCAGGCGCTGTGATCTTGGTCAAAGGCCGCTGCTCCCACCTTCTTCACTCCCTGCCCAAAGCCGAGCTACCATGGCCCAGGGCCTAAGGAGCACTTCACCCCGACTTGGACTTGGACGGGAATCATCCGGCCCTGCAGCCACAGGGATGCTCCCTGCCAGGCTGCTCCTGGCTTAACAGAGGCCTCGCCACGCTCACAGGGAACACTTGCTCAGAACAGTCCAGGTGGCAGCCCTGACTCACTGGTGCTCTGAGCCGGCAGCAGAGGTGGCCAAAAATAATGCAGACGCCATGGAGGGCGCCAGTGGTGAGTAATAGTCTAGCGCTTCATGGGCTGTCCTGTCGGCTGCTGGGCCAGGTGGGTCTCTAGACCTGGGAAGAATGTGCCCACTTCTGGAGCCATTGTCTCGGCCAAGAACTTCTGGATGAACCAAAGACCATATTTAGTCTCAGACCCTGAGGCCCTCCTGTAGGGAGCAGGGAGGGACTCGCAGACATCCAGGGAGGATACCAAGTCAGCACTGAAGTCTCCAGCAGGCTCCTCTGCTCAGTGCTGGGTCCCCCCCAGAAGACTCCACTGGGGACATGATGTGGCCCCTCATCACAGCCATACAGGGGTCCTTTGTCTAGATAAAAATGTCTGAGCACCTCCTTGGGACAGACGCCCCGTCCATGCCAGTCCATCTGCTGGGGTCCTGTTCTAAGCTCACATGGATTCCAAGTCCCTTCCTGAAAGCCTGAGGGTCTCAGCTGATGCTCCCACTTGTGGCTCATGACAGGCAGGCAGCTGTGGCTTCACTCAGCTGCTGTCCAATGTCACCTGATGGTGCACACTTCACACTAAGTCAAGTCTGTGGCTCAGGGTGACAGGGCTTCTATCTGACAAATGCTACTCAAATCAATGCAAGGAACCCTCGAGCACCCCGAGCACCTAGGTTCCCCACAGCTACCTGCAGCTTTTCAGTCTTTAAGTCCTGTGAGGAAGACCAAGAGGCCCAGAGAGGGGGTGCTACCCTTCCTGGAGGTCCCAGTGAGGCCCTCCCACCTCACCAGGAGGAAGAGTAGCCCTGCGGCCCGGGCGCCCTTACCATGGCGATGAACCTGCCGATGAAGCGGAAGTAGGTGAGGTGGTCGGGGTTGATGGAGGAGGCGGGGTTGATCTGCAGGCAGTAGTTGTTCTTCCCGGCATACTCAAACAAGCAGTACATGGGGTTGAGCACCTCGTGGGACAGGAGGAAGAACCACTCTCTAGGAGGCGGGGGAGAGAAGAAACAGGACGATGGATCCCCGCACGCCCACGGTGGCACTCATGGCTCTGCCGAGTGTCTCAGCTGGTCAGGTGACCAGTGTCACCAGCTGGTCAGGGAGCCAGCCTGCCCCAGACCCAGGATGGACCGGCACCATGGCACGCGGGGATGGTGCCAAGGAAAACCTTCGCGTGTACCCGTCAGCTCCGCGTGGTGCATCCTAGGACTCTGCATCACGACCTCCAGAGCTTCTGGTGGGGCCCTAGGCCACCGTGAACAACTGTGGGACTGTGCGCAGCTCGAGGGCACTGTGTTCAAGTAGCATAGACACATGCATTTGTTACAACAGGTTTTCTGCCAAAGTGTTGTGTGGTACCAACCACCATCCCGGGTGGGCAGCGGAATGTGAATCTATGGTAACATGTTCCTGGCTCCTGCCCCATGAAAACAGGGTGATCCTGCTGCCCCAGACAGTGCGCCCCACCCCGCCAGCTACAGCACGCATCTCTCACTTTCCTTGCACTTTGCCCGCCCCTCACCCCAGACCCCTCTTCCATGTGTTCATCTGAACCAACACCCAAGCCATGGCATCTATTTGTATGCTAGGTGCAAGCTTCAGGCTAGAATCCAGAGTTTGGACTTGAGCTAAACTGGCAGGGGGGCCTCCCAGGAGGCCAGTCTCTGGCTGCTTGTTTGTGGCTGAGCAGACGAGGAGTCCTTCGATGCAGAGGGTGCCCCGGTATCCTGTCCGTGGTTCTACCCTGTGGTAGAACAGCATGACGTAACCTACCATAGGGTAAAACCACTGGCAGGACACAGAGAGAGACACACAGGGCGGGAGCCACACCAAGCCCACCAAGCACAGCCTGGAGAGGAGGTCACCACAGAAAAAGAACAATCCGTCCACAGGAGGCCAACACAGAAGGCAACACCATCAGCAAACAAGGACCAGAAGCAAGTTAGCCCAACACCAAGTGAGAAGACATCCCCACACCATGAGAGGTCAGCAGTCTGAGCGAGCCCACGGCCAAGGTGCTCCTCTCTGCAGGGCCCTTCTTCCCTGTTGCCCAGATGCCCTGCTACCTTCTGTAAGGGACTGGGTGAAGGCAAGGCAGTGCTCTCGGCCCTTGCCAGGTCGCTTCAGCCATTTTAATTGTACTGGCCTGTGCACAGGACATGTGGCTAAGTACGGATAAGGGCCCTTGACCATGACCTAGCTTCTGCCTGCTCTGAGATACCTCCCTTCACCTGCCCTGGGGACAAAGGGAAGCCTAGGGTCAACTTTAAGGGACACCCATGTGGCCACTACCTACTGATGCAGCTGGACTGGTTATGAAAGCACAGAAATAATGACATGGATGGGTGAAGCGTGACCTGAGCCTTGCCCCCCGCCCCAGGAGCCCCCAGGCTCCTCGTGGTCCAGCAATTGCAGGCTTGATGTCTGTCCTTGCTCCAGCGTCCTCTGGCACTGGCTAGAAAGGCTAGATGTTTTCAACACTCTCTCTACGCACCTCCTGAAGATGTAGGAGCTCTGGCTATGAATGTGAGCAGGGAGGAAGCCACTTTGTGCCCATGGGGTACAGTGGGGACAGCACAGCCTTCAGGGAAACCAAGCTCACCTGGCGATGCCTCCGTAGTCCAGGCCCTCCTCCCCACGCATGATGATGTAGAGCCGGCGGCGCAGGTCATAGGGCTTCATGTTCATGATCTGGGGAGACAGAGTGTCTGGCCAGCCTGTCCTTTCCGCAGCACAGCGGACGGGGCAGAGGCCTAGGGCCTGTGTCCAGCAGACATGGTCACAAAGACCCCTGCACAGTGTGGGTTTCACAGAACATGGGACAGGGGACAGAGTGGTGGGAGGAGGACCCTGCCTGCCCTGTCCTGGTCTTGGCACCATCATTATACTCTAACCTGTTGGAAAGAATCCTCAAAGAGCGTCTGCCTGGAAACGCTGATCTTCACATGGCTGGGCAGGGCATTTGACTGAAAAGAACAGAGAAGAACTTCAAATCTGGGCCTCATCGACTAGCTACTCACTGGGGCTTCCCGTCTGGAAAAACAGGCATTCCTGACCCAGTCCAGAGTGAGACAGGCATCTTGTCCCTGGCTAAGACGCAGATACCTCAATGGGTGGAACTCACTCAACAAACCCACTCCGTGGGAGCCCCCAAACCAGAACTCACGTGGCACAGGAACCGGAACTGATGATACTTCCACCGAAAACTCCGGTCATAGGCACCAGGGGAACCTTGCTTAGTCCTGGAAGAGCAAAGATGCTCTGGAATCCATGTGATTTTTCAAAAAATGAACCATCTGTCTTTATTATTTAGACTTACGGAAAACTAATGCTTTTTGTATTTCAAGTTGCATAAAAGAAAGGAAAAGACTTCCATCAAGAGCTTTGAAAAGTCAAAAGAAAAACCTGAAACAATGCTAGATTTCTTGCTTTTAAAAGGGAAATATTACTAATGGTGTTCCGGATGGTCAGGCTTGCCGTCCCTCTCCCCAGTCTTCTAAGGCAACATCAACATTGGCCACTAGAGGGCAGTGAGAAGCACAGCACAACCACAGCAGCCACCGAGCTCCTGTCACCAGCCTGGTGGTGCGGGTGACACTGCCGTGGCCTGTGGGAGTCCTTACCCTGACTCAAACCCGGGGCGAGGATCTTTAAAGGTGGTGGTGCGAGTATTGTGGTCCACAAAATATCGCACCCCCTCGCTGGTGTACTTCATTTCCCATCCAGGGGGCAGAGCTGGTTCCTGGATCATCCTGGAAACGCAAGTAAAAGGGGGTTAGGGTGGGCCCCACTTGTGGGCCTCTGCCGCTGCTCTCTGCTTTCACCTGGCTCTGCAGAGCCCTTGAGGAGCAGGCACCTGGGGAATATGCACCTGGCATGACTCAAGCTGTGAAGACCCAAGTCACGACCAAAAGGAAGTCCCCCAGCCAAAATGCCAGTCCTGGGCAGATGGCACTGGTCCTAGTGGACATTAGCAATCCTGAGACAGCAAGCACCCCAGCCCAACCTCCGATGGGGCTTGAGGTGCTGGGGCACCTTCCACCTTTTTACAATCAAATTCTCAGCACCCTGCATAAGCAGTGCAGAGGCCAGCAGTGTCTGCGGGTGACCACTCGCTGCCCACCACAGGTTCTACTTCAGGATCCACCATCACACTCTCATCAGTGCCCCCCACCCCGAATCCTCACCCCTGCGTCCGAGGGTCCTCCCACTGGGTGGTGCGTGTGTTGTGGTTCACGTAATACACCCGTCCATTGTCCTGCCTCTTCTCTGCCATGGGGGAAATAAGGAGAGAAAGCGATCAGCCCAAAGATCTTAGCCAGGTCCTTTCCCTCGACTCCTGGGAACTGGGACCAACTTTCAAACCTTGCGGCCAAAATAGTAGAGAGGTTTAGCTGGCCAAAGCCTGGAAGACTCATATTTGTTACTAGGAAGGACAAAGACCACTTCTCTGTCGTGGCACAAGGGAGGGACACGCACAGTGCCAGCTTCAGTGGTTGTCTGGCTTGTCAGAGGAAAGGGCGGCGCAGCACATGGAGAAGACTGCCAGGCAGGACCAGAGGTGTAATTGCATCCAGCTGTGTACAGCATGGTCACTCCCTCGCCCCCAAAAGCAGGGAGAGAAACCCTTCAGCTCCAGGTGGGTGGGTAGAAACCAGGGGTAAGGCCCCCAATACCAAGGGGCCCCCTTTCCCAGGCAGTCCCTGAGCCTGCCAAACTGTTTCTGTCCCAGAAACAAATGATGCTAATGACAACGAGATGTCATTAAAGAAATGACAACCAGGGCACCCAAGTCTGAAAAAGGGGAAGAATGGGGTACACCAGCCCTCGTCACCAGAACAAGTTCCTGCCTCTGACTGATCTGCTCTCTATTTTTTTTTTTTTTTTTTTGTCTTTTTCCTTTTTATCGGTACCAGGGATCGAACTCATGACTCCCTGCTTGCAAGGCAGGCGCTTATGCCACTGAGCTAAATCTCCAGCCCCGATCTGCTATTACGCGGCTAGGATTTTGTAAGCGCAAACACTTGTTAATCATACTTTGAAAAAGCTGGGGAAATAAGAAAAAATACAGACAAAAAGAGAGAAAGAGCACGAGATGGTTGAAACTGTCATGCAGTGACTACTCGAGGCCAGTATGTGACCAGTAGCAGAAGGCAGACATCCCAGGAGGCTCCCGACAGACGGCCACTCCCAGGCCAGGAGCTGCTGCTGCTGGGAACTGGATTGGATCCTCCACGGCCGCTCCACCGAGGGCCAAAGCCAGGGCCAACCACTGTCTGGGGGATCTGCCCAGCAGGTCTGACGTCAGGCCATCACCCCAGCACTGGTGCAGTACAGTTTCTCAAGGTCCCACTGAGTGCCTAAGAGCTGTGACTGTGCCAGTGGGGTGGGGGTCGGGTGAGTGCTCCAGGGAGCACCGCTGCACCTTGTTTCAGGAGCAAGAAGACTTGAGAGCATTTGTCACACGCCTAGGGCAGGCCTGCGTGTGGGGATAACTGTGGAGTCTCCCGTAGGGTGGCAGAAAGGGACCTGGGAACTGAGGGCAGGGGTGACACCAGCAGGCTCGCCATCGATGCCATTCCTGTTTGTTTTGGCGTTCTTTCTGTCCAGTCTCACCATCCCTGGGGAGGCACTGACCCCTGCCACAGTCCAGGGATGCCAACACTGAGCCCAGAGGATTGCAGTTAGAAAGGTCCCCTGGCCCGTGGCCAGAATGTTCTTTTTCTCACTTTTGGACTATTCTTGCGACTGGTCAACCGCACTGACTCTGACTGTGTCTCCTCTATTCTTATCTCAGATATTCTCCATCCAGTATGGGGGAACAGTTTTCAGGTCTCTACAGCTCCTCTTACTGGTGACCATTATTTATCAAAATGGCTACAGAAATAAAATCACTTGACTGGGCTATATTGCCCACCTTTAGAGACCCAGAAACACGCCAGGTCCTTGGCACCGGGTCACTGATGTAACTTTCCTGTCTGTGAAAGGATCCTCAGTTACTCTCTCAAGCTTGACCTGCTGCCAACCCCTGAGATACAGACGACTTTACTGTGATCCAGGGGCCAGGCAGGTCACCTGGGTGCACCAGGATTGCCTAGCTGAGCTGAAAATCAACATATTCATGGAAGCCTTACTATCTGGCCTCTCTCACTGGAAGGATGGGTCCTCCGGCACTTGGGAGCACAGTGGTAATTGACTAAGTGGTGTCCCGTGTACTAGGAAGTGACATTACTCCCAGGGAGCAGCTGGGTCTGTCTCAGGGGATCCAGTCCCAAAGCTGGGCTCTTCCAGGCAGTGTCCATCCTAACATGTCAGCTTCCCAGCAGAGCTTCACCCCCTGTGGCGAGCCCCTCACCCAGGGTTAACGCCATCTATGAATACCACCAAGCCAGTATGTACCCAACCAATATGTTGAACCAAATACCTGCTGACTCCTGTGAAAATCACCCTCTTGGGCAATCAGGGCTTTGCAGGACTGACCCAAACCCCTCCATCTGAAAGAGCTGCAGAACATATCAAGTCTCACCACCGCTAGTGACCCCAGCTTTGCATGCCCCTCCTCCCTAGAATGGCTACGCAGGCCCCATCGTTCCTAAGTCATGGAGTCCATGCCCTAACTTGCTCTGGGCATCACACCGAGGGCTTGAAAGAGTAAGAAGCAGCCACTAACAGCCAAGAGGACCCAGCACAGTGTTACGGTAGCAACGCCATACTTCTGGAATCATGACCTAGGGCTCAATGCTCAGCTTCCCTTTGGCTTCTTTCAAAGCTGTGTTACAAATTAGAATGGGGCTGCCATTACCCAGGGTTAGGCTGGACTCCTCCAACACCTCAGCTGCAAAGAAAGGCGACTCCCTCCACCCAGAGAGACAGTCCTGAAGCAAGTCCATTTGCAAACCAGACAGGGTCTATGTATCAGTGACAGGCTGCCACTGAGGTCCTGAACTCATTAGCCACACAGCAGCTTGGGATCTCTCTCTTAGGGTCACACTCCTTTAGCTGTAGCTCTGAAGGCTACCCTGGCACGGCCCAGCTCAGCTTCTCCCTCGATCTGCCAGCTTGCCACTTTGACACTGGCTGGGTGTCCCCAAGGGTATGCTGTAGAAGGTGGCACAGGGAGCCAGCGGATGGAAGAGAGGAAAGGGGACATGCGAAACAAGCTCTTGGCACCGGACACGGAGGGCACCAAGGTAGAAGTCAGTACTCACCCCAGCCGGGGGGCAGCGGGCCCAGGGGATCATGGTCAGTCGAAGTGCTCGAAGACTAAATAGAAGAGGCACAGAAGAAAACAGAGGTTAAAAAAACACTGGTTAAAAATACATCCTTCAATAAAAGTTAAAATGCCAACAACTCACTTCCGCATTTTAGTACTTTGTAGAGGATGCAAGACCCTAGGTGGCATGGGCTCCTCAGAAGTCTTTGTTAAAAAAAAAGGAAAGGAAAAGAAGCCCCCAAAGAGCTCTTGGAGAACTCAGGAGGGTTTGGGAAGGTGCAAAGAGTGGGAAGAAGAGGTGCGCAGAGGCCGGGCAGGGCTGGCCGGGCAGAGCAGGGCCGGAGGGCTCAGCGCGGGCCGCCCCACCAAGCTCCCCGACGGACACTGCTCGACTGCTCGCGGCGGCCAAGGCGACTGAAATCACCACCACCTCCAACTTTCTCCAAGAACCACACACAGGAGGGGAAAAAATATTGCAGGCCTTTCCAATGAAATCATTCCCACAAGCCCTGCCCACGCCCGGGCTTCCTGGCTGGGCTGGGCCCTCCTCCCTCCATCTCGCTGCTAGCCCCCGCCACCCGCCCAGGGCAGCATCCAGCAGACTGAGGGCACATTCAGACCCGAGCCCCTCACCTCCCCCAGGAATGTTTTCCTTCCCTTCCACAAAGCACCTTTATTCTCCCCCCCACCCCAACCTGAACTTGCTCACTGTTCTGTGTCTGCCCGTCTGGGGAGGTGGGGGTGGGGCAGGTGGTGAGGGAAGGGAGGGGGCGCAGGACTTCGGGGGCACTGAGCTTACGTTAGTGACCACCCCCCACACCCCGGCCTAATTCTGCTTTGAGGTCTCCAGGGAAGGGCTGCAGGGACGGTGAGGTCTCATGTCCTTTGGGGAAGGGGTGCTGTCAAAAAACGTGCATGGTTAAATAAAACAAGTATTGTTCTCCTCACTCTTTCCCTGCCCCCCCAAAAGCATTTTTATTTCCCTGACTAACATTTAATCATTATATTATGGGATCAAGTTCTAAATGCAGACTTCAGGCTGCCGGCCTGGCCTCGTCTGGGGGCGACAGAGCCACACACGGGCAGGAGGATGAATGGAGCTCAGTCTCGCCTTGAGCAAACATTGGTGGAGCCCCATTGCCAGTGCTCCCCTTTCACAGCCCTCCCACCCCCTCAAGGGACAGAGGAACCTTTTTCGAAGGTGGCAATGCAGGCACCGCTTCCAAGCAAGTTCCAACAAAGACGTTTAAGTCTGGGAACCATAGGTTCCTTGATGGGACAGGGGCCCCTTTCAGCTGAGGGGGGATCCTCTACCTCACAGAACGAAGCTGCACAAAATGGGGGAAAACTGGCCTTGACCGAGGCCCACTGCTGCCAGCCTCCAGGATATGCTCACAATCTGCACCACAATTTCAATTTGCCCCACTCCTGAAACACATCACCCCAAGTCTTGGTAGTCATTTTGGTTTGTGTTTGTGTGTAGGAAGGATACGGGGTGATCTGGCGTGACATCTCATAAAACCCAAATGTCTCCAGCCTTGCTTTGTGCTAATAGATAAGGACCTTCACTACAAAGACACTTGGCATCAAAAGCCAAGGAATGAACATGAGAACACATCTATTTCAGACAATAAAGCCAAATACAATGAGTTACTGAGGTCTGAGCTATAACAATGGTTTTGCAAAAGGTAATTTTAAGAAATTAGAAAGAAGCTAGGTGTGGTGGCACATGCCTGTAATTGTAGCACTCATCAGGCTGAGGCAGGAGGATGGCCGCAAGTTGGAGACCAGCCTGGGCTACAAAGTGAGCTCAAGGCCAGCCTGAACTGCATAGAAAGAGTGTGTCTTAGACAGAGACATTTGGTACACAAGTGTCTGTGGCTTCAAGTCTCTTTTCGTTTTTTGTTTTGTTTTTTTTTTTTTTGTCTTTTTTCCTTTTTATCGGTACCAGGGATCGAACTCACGACTGCCTGCTTGCAAGGCAGGTGCTTATGCCCGCTGAGCTAAATCCCCAGCCCCTTCAAGTCTCTTTTCAGAAGGAGTGGATAATCTATAAAGTGTCTAGGAGCTTTGGTGGAAATCGGCTACCACCGGGTGCCACGTACGCTTCTTTGCGTAGCTGTGTAAATCGATAGGCCAACAGGTCTTTATTGATAGCACTTAACTGAAACAAAAACATTTGTCAGTCTTTTTACTTTTTTCTCCTCCCCCACCTTTTTTTCTTTTTTTCTGAGACAGGGTCTCACTGTTTGGCCCAGGCTAGTCTTGAACTCACTTCAGCCCCCAGGTAGCCGGACACGCGCCACATGTACAATTCATCATCCGTTTCTTAAATGCTGCCCCCTCCTTTTTTTTCTTTTTTTTGGTACCGAGAATTGAACCAAAGGTCTCTGCAGTAAGCTACATCCCTAGCCATTTTTCATTTTGGGACAGGCTCTTGCTAAGTCATCAGGTGGATCCTTCTGCCTCAGCCTCCCCCAGTGGTAGGGTGATAGGTCATCACACAGGCTGTTGCCTTTCTTTCTCAGTCTCTAATTTTACAGGTTACTGGCCCTCTTTTGTTAAAGTAGGGTATCTTCCCATCCTTGTCATACCAGAGCTTCATTTGTCCCCTCAACCTGTCAGAAGAGCAGCAGACAGGAAAGGGAAAGATCAGAGACTGCTAACACAAACAACATTCAGAGTCAACAGAATCAAACACTCATATTTTTACTTCTTCTAGTTAAAGTAACCTGACTATTTTGGATATTTCTTCCCTAAGGTATAGAGTACAACTTGAAAAACAAGAAAAGAAAAGCCATAAGGAGGAAAGTAAACAGGAGGAAAGGAGAAACGAAAAATACAAGCCACACATCATGGCCAGAAAACCAAAAGCCGAAAATTTCACCCCACCAACAAGCCAACTGACAGCCTCTCTTCTAGCCTAAAGTATCACAGGGAGCAGAGCAGGAAAAGCACACAGTGGCTTCAAGTCTCTTTTCGTTTTCTTTTTTTTTTTTTTTTTTTTTTTTTTGTCTTTTTCCCTTTTTATCGGTACCAGGGATCGAACTCACGACTGCCTGCTTGCAAGGCAGGTGCTTATGCCCGCTGAGCTAAATCCCCAGCCCCTTCAAGTCTCTTTTCAGAAGGAGTGGATAATCTATAAAGTGTCTAGGAGCTTTGGTGGAAATCGGCTACCACCTGGTGCCACGTACGCTTCTTTGCGTAGCTGTGTAAATCGATCACAGCCAGAGGACATCTCACGTGCACAGGTCACCAGAAGACACCAGACAGCTTCCTTTAGGACTAGGAATGGAGAGAAACACCGCTGGATCACTTTCCTGAATAGCCCTGCATCAGGAGAACTGGGGTGCAGGCCACAAGCCAGAGAGCTCATGCGAGTTCAAGTCCCTTGGGGACAACACACAAAGTCCTAGTAATATTTTAAGATACAAACTCAGAAATAAAGAATGTCTAGCAAATACAGCTGGGGGCAGAAAGGTTCTGGGAAGGGCATAAAGGTTGCAGAGGGAAAGGCAGGCATCATTCCTCCTTCCACAGGCACCCATGCCCTGAGAACAAAAGCTGGGTGCTTGGGAATTCAGCGTGGGATGCTCTGGGCGGAGTGGGCACCGAGTCATCTGTTTCAGATTTGGAGCCCACACCTGGGAGCCAAGGAAGGATCTGAGCTGGTCCTGCAGACCCAGCCCGTGTCTGATGATGAAGAGGCATAAAGACAGAGGTGCCACATGAACAGCAGGCTGTGTGACGTCCTGGCCCAGGGGTACAATGGCATCCACAGTGGACACTGCACAAATACAGGGCAGCACAAAACCACAGGGTGAAACACACACACACACTTTACCATGAACAATAAAGGCACACTAGGCATCAGAAAGAAAAACCTGCCAGAAACAAGGAGAAGACTAAGCTAGGAGAATTGTGGGGAAGGCGGGTGTGGAGGCAGTGAGTAGGAAGGAATAACAGGAGCCCACCGCCCGGGATTCCCTGGGCTCCCATTCCGCACTGTATTTCATGTTCTCTGCGGTACAGCAAAGAACAAGGTCTCAGTCTAAGCCCAGAAAGAGGAGGAGGCGGGGAAGTCGCCAGTACAGTATCAGCTCTTAAGTCTTCCGAGTCAAACCCTGGGCCAAGGCCAAACCCCAAAATAAATGTATGAAAGCAACCCTTCTTACTTGTAACCAGGACATGGCACCATAGCAAACAAGAGGGAAAACCAAATCCAGAGGGGGAGGAAAAGCAACAGAGAAACATTGAGAGCAGACCAAAAAAAGATTCCCACCACGTTTTTCAATGTAAGACTTGTTTCAGGGAGAAAGGTAACCCCCCACCACCACGGAGAATCTGCCTACATCCCCTGCCATGCTGAGAAAACCATTTTAGAGTATGCAGGATGAAATTTTTTTGCATTTAATTTTTTACTTCTAGGGAATGCTCCACGCTGAAATCATACCTCTGTAAGCTTGGAACAACGTTGCTAAAATGAGAGAAACAGGGAAGAGGAAAAGAATTCTCCAAAAAGAACAAGTGGTCATGAGAGCCAGAACCTGTGAATCTTCTCATTTGAACACGGACATATCCGCCAACCTACAGAAGTGATGTGCTGCACACCACAGGACAAAATGGGTGATTTTTTTTAAAGAAGTTGGATAATCAAAGAAATGAAACCATGTGAGACCCCTATGCTGTGTCCTTGTCTCTACCCCAAAGGACAGACAGGTCAGAGAAAGATAATCCAGACTCTCTCTGTTTTGGAGCCAGGTCCACCCAAGAAAACAGGCAAAATCCTTGGGCCCTGGCTCAAAAGGAACAGTTTTCAAAATGCGGAGAAGGACCAGCTCCTGTCCAATGTTTGAAACAGAGCAGAACTAGATAGCAGGCATGTCATGGGGTGGGCGGGGTGGCACAAGGACATGGACTGGGTAAGACTACCCGGCATGGGTTGCAGACAGGCGAGAACAGCAAGTAACCTTTGAAGGCAACTTTATGGGACACACGTCATGTTTTCTGCTTACCCCTAAAGGAAATGGGGTCCTCCTGAGCTTTCCCACTTTCTGATCAGCAGTCGATCCCACAGACTAGGCGAGCTAGCTAAGGGAGATGCTACCATGACTTACAGTTGGTAACGGAGCTCCTGCTTCTAAAGAACACTGAAAGAGCCAAAAAATAAGGCAAAGATGATAAACAATGACTACTTTTTTTGGAGACAGGATCCTAGTATGAAGTGCAGACTGGTTGTGAGCTCATTACATAGTCCAAGCTAGCCTCAAAATCACAATCCTCCTGCCTCAGCCCCCTACATGCTAGAATCAAAGGCATGTGCCACTATGCCCAGCTATGACTGCTACTTAATTAAATGGGATTAAGGATTTTTTGAGCATCTAACTAGGACAGGCAGAAATGGGTTGTGGAATTAAATAAAGTTCATTTCAAATAGAAATAAGGTTAAACACACTGATTAAACTGTGGTCCAGCTCCAAACCCCTACCTACAATACAGGGCCCCATCTCATGCTGCTATGACCCCTATACCCAACTTTTGTGATTAAGGTGACCCAAGAATATAATCAGGACTCCAACCAGGGACCTCGCTTCTCCCTGCTGAAAAGCCTTTGTAGCCAGGCTCCTCTAGCTCTGGGTCCCTGGTGGGGATGCTCATGAGGACAAAGACTCCAGCAGGGGCACCAGGAGGTTCTGAAAGGGATGTGGTATGGGAAGCTGTTAAAACACTTCACCCTGAATTCCGGATTAGAGAGTTTACACCTCATTCAGTAGCTAGTGACCACAGAAGGCCTTGGCCAGGAAAGGGATGCAGTGACACAACATCTGAAGGTGCCTGTGGTAGGAACAGCCAGCAGGGACTGGGCCAGCCAGCCAACAGGGACAGTGCACAGAGGCTGTCCTGGCAACTCAGAAGGGAGAGGGCAGAGGAAAGGCAGGCACTGCCCACACACCTGTAATCCCAGCATTTAGGAGCCTGAGGCAGGAGGATTACTCGTCAACCCGGTCAACCCGGGCTATGTAGCAAAAAAAAAAAAAAAAAAAACCTACTGTGGTAGCGTGAAAGGAGCTACAGTTAACTCACAAACTACCAGCAGGCCTGTGTTCCAATAAATTTTTTTTTTTTTTTTTTTGTACCAGGGATCGAACTCACAACTGTGCTTACAAGGCAGGTGCTTATGTTGCTGAGCTGGCAATAAAACTTTATTTATAAAACAAAGTGGCAAGGGCTGAGGATTTAGCTCAGTGGCATAAGCTCCTGCCTGGAGAATACATGGTTGTGAGTTTGATTCCCAATACCATCACCACCCAAAAAAAAAAAAAAAAAAAAGGTGGTGGACTGCTTTGGGCCCTGGGCTTTCGTTTGCCAGCTCCTCATCTAGATGAGCTTTTATCTGTTCTTCATCCTTGAGACTGCTAGCTAGTAAAGATTAAAAGAAACAATGTGGGGGGGGGGGCACAAAAAGAATCACAGCACAAGATGCACAGATGTCAGTACATGGTGACAAGTATATGAACTACATGTGGCAAACATATATTAATTTATAAGAAAAAGAAAGAAAAGGGGCCAAGGACATAGCTCAGTGGTGCAAGCACCTGCCTGGTAAGTGTGAGTTCGGTCCCCAGTACCAAAAAAAAAAGAAAAGAGAGAAAGAAAGAAATGAAACAACAGGCAGCAAGAGACAAAGGAAGAACTGGTGACCGCTGTGATCCAGAGAGGTGAGGAGCGGGCAAAGTCAGAGCTGATCTTTGGGCTTCAAGTCAGGAAATCGGACTTGAACAGAGAGGGCAGAAGAGAAAGCCAGTCTTGGAAGAAAGACAGGAAACACAGTTTCAGAGGCTGGACATGGAGTTACTCAGAAACACCGGAATTTGAGGAATTTCGCTGTGATGAGGAAAATCTCCAGGGTCGGAGCACTGAAGTCCCTGGCTGCCGCCCACTCCCCATGCCGCCCACCTCTCACCTGGTAGAGGAATCTTTGGCTGAAGTGTTGCATGGCCCCCTGCAGCTGGTTGCGCTGTGACTGCCACTGCTCGTAGTTCCGCACGTACTCGGCTGTGGGGCGCTGCCAGGTGGTGGTCCGAGTGTTGTGATCCACGTAGTAAAACCTCCCTCGGGGGTCTGTGCGCTTCTCCCAGCTGCAAACATTCAGCTCAGGATGAATATAGTGACCACCCTCGCCCCAAACTGCAGGAAAAAAATCTCAGGATGGCTGGTAAGGAGGGGCTGAGGAAGGGCCAAGGGGACTGAGTGGCTTGGATCCTCTGGCAAGACACAGGGGCTTCCGGGGCTCAGGTGATGACGGTGGACACTGGTGTCCGCCTGGCCAGCAACCCACTCTCCCCACCGTTGGCTCCTGGTTTCCCTCTCCCGGGACCCATGCAACTCTGGGAAGCTGACTCTATTCTCAGTTCCAGAGCTGACGACTGACCAGACCAGGAATGGGCACAGGATTCAGCCAGGGACAATCAAGGTGACTATGGGACTTTTGCTAGGACAAAATATAGGCTTGCATCCTACTGGATCCAAGTAGGAAAGCACACGGTGAGTCCTGGGAACCACTGGCTACCAGTTTAGACCTAAGTGGGGCACGAAGTTGACCCAGTGGATGGCAGAGCAGAAAACTGGAAGAAAAGTCAGCTCCTTGGTCATAAGATAGTCACTACATCAGGCTGCACCTCAAATTAGGATCATAGCTAATTAATTTTCAGTGACATTACCCAATAAATTCCCCTTTTTATTTAAGCCAATTTGGATACCAAGTTTTGTTACTTGCAAGTGACATAAGGCACCAACAAAAACAGGTTGCATGGTCAGGAGAAGGGTTGATCCACACAATAGGAGGACGTTATGGGATCTTTGGTGAGAAAGCAGTTTTTCCAAACTTGATCCTAATACCTGCCCACCCAGCAAGGCGGGGCTGGAACAGAAAGTATTAATCCTTAACTGAGCTGAGCTGTGCAGTGACCTGATTTCCACATACACAGATGGAAAGCAATTAAAAGTAAGTAGAAAGGAAACTTTTCTAGGATGATGAGTTTTTCTATATTTTGATAGGTATGGGTTGCATGAGGGAAACTTATTTGTTAAAGTTTAGTGACTAAACATTCAGGAACACGTGTCTCACTGTGTATAGATTATACCTCAGTGTCAGCTGGAATCTAATCAAGCCTCCGAGTCTAGTTACCAGCTTACAGTGAAGACACAGGATAAAACATGTTATACAGCCACAAGGGCACAATCAGCCTCATCATGAATATAAGAAATTCTACAGCTCAGGATGGTGGCACATGTCTGTAATTCCAGCAACTCGGGACACTGAGGCAGGAGGATCACTGAAAATTTGAGGCTACCCCGAGTTACAGTGAGCTCAAGGCCAGCTGAACTACACAGCATAGGTTGTCTCAAGAAACATAAACAAACTGGGTGTGGTGACTCACGCCTGTAATCCCAGCACTTAGGAGGCTGAGGCGGAGATTTGTGAGTTCAAACCTACCTGGGCTACAAAGTAAAACTCAAGGCCAGCCCAAACTGCACAGTGAAACTCTGTCTCAAAAAGACAAAATAAATAAATAAACAAACAAACAGAAACAAAAAGAAAGCAATTCTGTAAGACAAAATGCCCAGATTCTTCAATAAATGGTCTGATAAAAATTGGAAAAATCAGGGAAAATCACAGGTGAGGAGAGACTTAAGACACCCATCAGCCAAAGGCACTGGATATGATTCAAACAAAGCAGGTACAGGAATGTTTTTAAGACAACTGGGGACAATGGGCTGTGCCTGGGCACGAGATGACGTAAGGAAATGGCAGTAATTTCACTGGATAGGATGTATATTTTTAACCTCTTGTTAGAGACATAGATGATGTATTTATGGATCAAAGAATATGATATCTGGGGTTTTCTTAAAAACCTATCAGTAGCTCCCCTGAAAGGCAAGAAGGTCAAAGGAAACAATTACTAATCATCAGACTCAGAAGAGGGTTACAAGGGCCTCACTGTGCTATTCTTTCACATTTGGTGTATGCTTCAAATTTTTCTGTTATAAATTTGAAAAATGGTGGGCATGGAAAAAAAAAAAGAGAGAGAGAGCACAGCTGAAGAACACAGGCTAAAACGCTGCAGAGGGACGCTAATTCGGACACGCCGTGAGGCCCGAGTGGAGGTCCTGCCGCTCTGTCCCTTGTCACTCCACAGTCTCTTGCTGACACGATGACTGACCTAAGTCTGTAACTGCCCTCACATCCTGAGTCAACCTCCCAGCTGATGCTTTTTTCTTTTCTTTTGTTTTCACCTTTTTGAGACTGAGTTTTGCTACACAGTTTTTGCTAGTCTTAAACTCACCCTGTAGCCCAGGCTGGGCTACACAGCAATCGAACTCACAGCAGTCCTCCTGCCTCTGTCTCCTGAGTGCTAAGATTATAGGTATGTGTAACCACCTGACCCCAGCTGGTTCTTTCTCAGCCATCTTTTCAAGGGAACTTTTAAAATTCCAGGCCTCCCTGAAAGTGGCTCCCCCTTAAGAAGCTCCCAGATCCCTTGGCTGGGTTCCCAGATTGTGCCCAGCTGTCACCAGACTGTTTTACCTTCTTCAGAACCCACACTTTGCAATTCAACTAAACCCCATGGTTCTCCCCCACTCTGAGCCTTTCCCCACCTCTGTCACTTCCCCCAGGAATGCAAGCGCACGCACCACCATCCCCACTGATATCAGTCCATCACTCAGCCTGAGTTCTTCTTTGGTTTTGTTATTGTTCCATCTTAAATTTCTACAACTAGATCTGTGTCACACAACCCGCTGGACTACTGAGCTGACCTCCCCGCTCCACTTTACACTGTAAGCAACCCCTGGAGACCACACTAGACTGACCCCGATATTCCCTAGCCTGCTTGAAATCCCCACTGATTTCTGCTGCCCTTAAGCCAGAATCCTTTATCAGCATTCAAGGTTCACAACAATTCTGACTTTCTTATAATTCCTCTACACTACTCATTTTCATTTATTATCAAAGAACTCAATGTGTATATATAGCTTTTGAATGCAAAGATTTCAAGAGATATAAAGAAAAGCAGATAGCAGGCATGGCGGTGCACATCTGCAATCCCAGCACTCAGGAGGCTGAGGCAAGAGGATTGTCATGAGTCTGAGGCTAGCCTGAGCTACACAGTGAGTTTAAGGCCAGCCTGTACTATAAACTGAGACCCTGTCTCAAAATAAAAAAAGAAAAAACAAAAAAGAAGAGCAGCCATCTGCTACCACATCGCTCTAAATAACATGTCTGCCCGCTACTCCTTTACTTGTGCCGTTGTCCACATTACTCGGGGACTGTCCACTCAGAAGATGGTCAGGTCGTGTTAACTCCCAACACATACTGTCACCTTGCCTCTTCCTCCAACACAGAGCACAATCACCATTAGATTTAGGGTTTGTATTATAATAAGGAAGAACACTATAGCAAACACATTTCCCATTTGCAAAACGTTCTGCATTTTGTTTCTTGGTTTAGGAAGGTAAGAACTGCCTTGTTTCCTTCGGTTTAGTTTTGAAGAATCTACGGCTCTTTAACCTCCAGATTCAAACTCACATGATGTTGACCAGTGGTCGGCAAGGCAGGAGAGGAAAGGGGACAGCTCACTGGGAATACTGCTGGGCCACAAGATCAAGTGTCACTTGCAATCAGGATTTCTATCTACCGTTTCCAGTTACATGGGCCATGAGCCCCTGCATTATTTAAGCAATTTCGATATCTATTTTGGTGACTTCTTTCTCTGACAGGACAAGTGCTCCGTGGTACCAATTCTTTAGCCACCCTCTCCTGTAGCTTCCTCGAAGGTGGCCTGGCATGAGTCATGTCCCCGCCACTCCCAGTTACGTCCCATGGCCTCTCCCAGGTCCCCACATCCTGTGCCTTCTTCCTTCTCGGCCTCTCTCATTTGGTGGAATATATCTAGTAACTTCTGTGGAAGGAGGCACTAAAGTTATTTTTTGAAACTCAGCATATCTGAAGGTTTCTTTATTTCTACCCTCACATTTGAATGTTTAAATTAATAAAAGATGATTTAAAAGTTCATTTCAAGGAGGGAAATCTTTTTCCATCAGAACTGTGATGAAAAAACTCTTCCCTGCTGTGGATTCTTGAGCCCCAAACATTTCTGTGTGTCATGTTTTCTCCCTCCAGGAGCTCCTGAGATCTGCTCTTGGCACTGAAATTCCCTGAGCTAGTCCTGCGTGTGTGCGTGTGTGTGAGCATGCACAGGAATGAAGTGATGGCTTCCAGGTGGCCCTTGAAGTGTACGTACTTCACTTCTGCAGCTTTCTTTTTCATTTCATTTTATTTAGTTATCTATCATTTCCTACCCTATTTCTCTGTTCTTTCTTGCTAGAACAGTAATACTATCTAGGTACTGGATCTTTTGAACTCATCTTCTCCAAATTTATCTTTCAACCACTATTCTAAATATTTTTTATTTCTGCTGTCATATATGTTAATTTCTAAAAGCACCTGCTTCCTATATGGTTTGTGTCAAGTTCTACAGTTCCATCAAAGAGCTATTTTCTTCCAAATCTTTGAGGATATTATGTTTATTTTTGAAATGTTCTCACAATACAGTTCAGGCTAGCTCTGAACTCACTATGTAGCCCAGGCTAGCCTCAAACTCACAGTGATCCTCCTGCCTCAGCCTCCAGAGTGCTGGGAGTAGAGGTGTGCATCAACACACTTAGTTTGTTTTCAGAATTTTTTGCTCCCAACTCCCTAATTGTTTTCACCAACCCCCCACGTCCCTTTTCTGGCTGCTACTCTTCGGTTGTCCAGTCGTTTGCCTTTTTCATTTGTGCATCTTGGCAATATTATTCACATTTACAGGTGAGCTGCTGACATGCTGTGTGCTCATGTGGAGCTGCTGACTATGGCTTCACTGTACAGCGACCAGGAAGAAGCTAAACCATCTTACTAGGACCCCAAACACGAGGGTCTGCAGCTATTTTCCTTTAGATGGTCACTTTCCCGAGCACAATATAACAAAACCTGGCACTCCGTGCCCTAGAGCTGGTACACTATCCTCACTTACTGCCTCTTTCCAGCTCATCTCTTCCTACATCCATGTCCTGTATGCCCAAGCCTGGTCCTGCTCTCTGAACAGCTGCTCAGGGTCACCAGCAGTCTTGTGTGTGTGCATGTGTGTGAGCATGCACAGCAATGGAAGTGATGGCTGACAATGTGGGAATCCAACCACGCCCTGCACAGACTTCCAGCTGACCTCCAGGTTCGCCTCACCCCACCTGCTCCGTGGTGTCCCAGGCGCTGAGGCTTCCCAGGGCCCTCATCACAGAGGCTCTCAGCCTCTTCGGTTCTGCCATTTATCCGCAAGCAACTAAATATATTAGCATCTCTCCCACGTGCTCTTTGTCCCCTTTCATTCCCTTTTTTTTTTTTTTTTTTGATGCTTCTTTTTATGAAGGTTTACTCACATTTTAGTGGGCTTTCACAAAGAATGAAAATAAACACATCTCAATCCATCTGTTTTACTAGAAGTCCTCTGCCATGGTGAATTTCTGAGCAGTAAAACCCCACCTTTTCTTTTAGGTAAAATCTATGCAGATACATAGAAGCAGAGCAGTGGCTGGAGGCCCAGGCAGCCCTGCACTGTCTTTGGCTCTGGTGGGCATCTCACAACCCCGAGGGCTCACTGGACACACTCTGAGAACATCTCTGTCTCACATAAACCTTCTACTCCTAGGCCAGACGTGGTGACACATGCCTGTAATTCTACCACTTGGGAGGTAAAGGCAGGAGGATCACTGTGAGTTTGAGGCCAGCCGGGGCGACAAAGTGAGTTCAAGCCTGAAATGCATAGTGAAACTCTGACTCACAAAGACAAAAAAATAAAAATAAAAACACCTTCTACTCCTGCAAAGCCACTCCCACATCATCCCCTAACACACATCCTTCACCTTCGCTGTGCACAGCAGCACCTCCCCTGTATCCGACAGGACCGTCTTCCGGCTCCTGTTCGAGTCCAGCCTTGCTGCGAGCATTTGAGTCACTTCCTCTGTGAAGCTTCCCTGAGCCTGGCGCTCTCCTGTGGGCTTCTCTCTGCTTACTTCTGGTCTGAGCTTGCCGAGGGAGCCTGGAGAGCACTGGCTGGTTCATCCTTAGCTGCCAGTCCAGGCCTTTGAGCTGTGGGGTATAATGACTGCCTGCACCGCATTTCCCATAGCTTTGCTACAAGATGATGACCGTGACACAGTGAACCCTCTGGCTCAATCTTACTTCCTGGGCACCGAGCGTGCTGAGGTAACAGCTTTATCTGTAGTTTCAAAGTTGCTCTCAAAATGGTTTACACTTCCCTGGGGTAGGACTTTTCCCATAATTAATGATAAAATCATAACATCCCACCCCAATATTTAAAGAAGAGCAAGTCCCCAGCCATCCTTAGAATGGTATCTTCCCAATTCTATCCAAATGTTGCGAGGTTTGTGGAGAGAACTGTGAGGCAGCCAAGAGCGCACTTACAGAGTTCCGGTTGCTTTCAAACACACGGGTTGTCAATACACCAAGTACCAGTGTACGATATACACCATGAAGATCAACGTTTGGGGCCAAGGGTTTAGTTCAGAGACATAAGCGCCTGCTTGGCACATTCGAGGTCATGAGTTCAATCCCCGGTGCCAAAAAAAATTTTTTAAATTAAATTTAAAAATCAATGTTTAGTCTGTGATACACTTAGAGAAATTCAGATATTGATGAGATATTTGATGGTAAGAAGGAAACACTATAAATGATACCGTGGTTTTATTTTTAATGAGAACATTTTTTAGAAATATGTACTCAAGTACAGATACGGATACGATGTTTGGGATATGCTTCAGAATAATCTAGATTTGACACGGGGGAGGCTAGATGAGGGTTAGGGCCCAGCAACTGACAAATTATTTCTAGCCATAAAGTCAGTATTTTAGGCTTTGCAGGCTGCACAGTATCTGTTGCAACAATTCAATCCTGCCACTAAAGTATGAAAGCAGCTACTAAAGAAAGCAAGCAGGGTAGGGATGTTGCTCAGGGGTAGAGCACTTGCCTCGCATGCACAGAGCCCTAGGTTTCATCCCAGCACCATGACACAGAAGTGAACAGTAAGTGTGGTTGTGTTCTAATAAAACTTTATTTATTTATAAAAACAGGCCAATTGCCAGATTTTGTGCATTTGCCACTATGGTGGGTCACCCTCTCGTACAAATGAAACAAAACTGGCCACAGACTTGATAATTCCTGAAGCTGTGTGTTGAGGCTGTGAGGGCTCCTTATTACTACTCTCCCTTCTTTGCACATTTTCCCTTTGAAATTTTCCCTAACAGCATGAAAATTTCCATCATCTCCCCAATAAAATGCCTGTTTGTTTTTTTAAATCAAGAAGTCCACGTTTCACTTCATAACTTCATTTGACTCCAAGTCAAAGCAGAAAATAAAGTGAGGCCTAGTGATGACAAATGACGAGTTCCATTCCCAGAGGAGGAGGGAAGAAAAGGAAAACCCAGGCATCCTCCTGGAAACTGAAGCGAAAGCACCCCATCCATGGAAAGTTGCAGGGCCAGAAGGTGAGGCGGTATTTGCCTGGCACACGCCTGACAGCGGAAGCAAACCAGCACAGGGGCTCTCCTGAGACCCTCCACCTCCGAAATCCTTCCCCTCCGCAAACTTGGGAGGCTAAGTGTTCATATTTTATGCAGGAGCCCTTCATGGCTACTTTAGTCGAGGCTGATTCTTTTCTGAGAGCAGAATATATTCCTTTTGAAAACTCTCAGGACTAAAGAGACACTCTGGAAAGAACTTTCTGTCCCTGGCAGGGAGGGCATCAAACCCCTGGTCCTTGAATTTGGACAGTCTCTCCCCCTTGGAAGCCTCACTCACCCTTTGGTTTTGGAGAGTGTGGATGTGTTCTCATCAAGCCCAGCTGAATGAGCAGGCCTCTGTCTTTCTAGGCAGGGTGGCCCCGACATGCAATGAAACGCATCAACACTCTTTCTTTCCCGGTCTCCACATCCCGTTTCTCCTGATCTGGAGTGCTCAAGATTGAACCCGGGGCCCAGCGCATGCTAGACAAGCGCTCTCCCACCAAGCTACGCCCCTAGCCTGTTTCCTACAGGGCCTCTAAAAGTCCCAGGCTGTCTTAAGAATAAAGGTAATGGGATGAAAAAAGCAATCAAGTGACAGAGAACAATGCCAGGCCCTACCAGGGATGCCTCCGAACAGTGACACACTGAGGACATCAAAACACTAAAGCCCAAAAGGTGTCCTTAGTCCCTCTTTTAGGGCTCAACAGCTCTGAATACCACTTAAGAAAGCAATGGTCATCAGTCTTGGCCAACCACATGGAGGTGGAAAGAAAGGGAAAAAAGGACAGAATATAAAAAGGGAAAACTGGAAGGATAAAAAACAGAGAAAGGAGGAGAGTGGGGTAAACTAGAGAGGGCAGTGCCAGGGAATGGCAGCGAAGCCCTCGGTGACTCTGGGAGTTGGTCCTAGGGTCTCAGGACTAGTCAGTTCAGGCCTTACTTACCCTGGAGGAAGAGGCCGCTCCCAGGTGGTGGTCTTGGTATTGTGGTCCACATAATAGACCCGCCCATTGGGCAGCTCCCGCTGCTCCCACCTGGAAAACAAAAAGCCAAGGGAAGCATGAGATACTCGGCTGAAAGGTACAGCCCTAGTCAGAAAGGAAACCCTTCACTACCAGTGTAACTAAGTTAGAGGAAACATCAAAGGTAGCATGCACGGTTGACACAGTGGTCACACCAGCTCTAGCATGGGGTGCTTTTTTTTCTTCTTTTGAGACCAGGTTTCACTGTGTAATTGAGGCTGGCTTGAGTTTACCATGTAGCTCTGGTTGGCCTCAAACTCACTGTGATTCTCCTGCCTCAGCCTCCAGAGTGCTGCGATTACAGGTGTGCACCACGCCTGATTTAAGAATGCTCCTTGAGAAACTACCGTAGCTCCTCTTTATGGGAGCAGTGTACTAGACTACAACACAGACTGCTGTCATATCGCCTAAACCATCCATGAGCCTATGTCCCGTCAAGTTTTAGAATCAGTGGTTTTTGGTATCACGATCAAAACTTGCTTTGGGGTGTGACGAAAGCTGAGGATCCTTTCTCTCCAAAACGCACTTATGACAAAGATGTGCAGGCAACTTCTGCATTTCACACACCCTGCATGAAGTTTACTCATTGACTCTGCTGCCCTTTCAGCCACCGCGAGTGTGAAGGTTACACATGATACGACTACGCCTGTCCTCCCAGCAGCTTCACCATCACATCCAATTTTAAAATACAGGATTCATTCACGGGAAATCTTCGAAAGACCTTGGGAGACTCAAGAAACATGGCATGGGTCATGACCAACCACCTGCACGGTACAGTCTGCCCAAGTGCAAGGACGACAGGGTCGCTCCGAGAACCCAAAGCCAGAACAGTACAGGGCCAAGCGCCACCACCCCACACCCTGTGGCTTGCGCACAACCTGACAGTGACTCCGCCTCCCCAGAGCACAGTGACCTCCACAGAGACAACACAAACGTCTTATATCCAGCTTGCTTTGAAAATGTCCTGTGTTCCAATGGGACCAACGGGACAGAACAATGTGAGCACAATTGTAAGCCCTGTATCTGCGTACCCTGCAACTCTCAAATGCCTCTCAGCTAAACGTGGTCACAGAGACACCAAAACAACAGGCGTCTACTATGAGTTACGTCCCATGCTGTGCCCATCTGATTTCAGATAACCTGCCAACCCCCACTTACAACAGCCACAGCCACCTTCCAATACCTGCTCCCACAGGCAAAGTTCAGGTCAGGGAAGCGTCACACGGGCTGTAGTACTGTGTTTTTCTGTTTTCCAGTGCCAGACACTGAACTCAGGGCTTTCTTACCAGGCTACATCCTCAGCCCTTTCTTTTTTTTTTTTAACCTTTGAAAATGGGTTTCACTAAGTTGCCCAAGCTGGGCTCAAACTTGCGCTACCACACCCGGCTTGTTATGTATTTCTTAATTATTTAACATAGGTAAAACTGTGCTACTGTTAGTATAAAGTTCCTAGTTTCTTTTTGTGCTACTGATACATTTCTTGAGCATTATGCCTCTAAGGCAGTTTTGCTCACAAGCCCTGTGGCTGTTTTGTTTTGCTTTTGCAGCACTGGTGAATGAACCAAAGACCTTCTCTTTGAGCTATCTCCTCAGTTTTTTATATTTTTTATGTTGAGATAGGGTCTCTCACTCAGGTGCCCAGTTAGGACTCCAACTTGCAATCCTCCTGCCTCAGCCTCCTTCAGTGCTGGAATTACAGGCATGTGCCATGTACCAAGCTAAATCCTGTAGTTTTTATTGCATGAATTCACAAAGTGTGGTGAGTTTTAGAACCACTTAGGCTTTAGTAGAGCTGAATGCATACTAAAATAAGTGTCCTTACTTCTATTGGTAAGCCTGGTATGTCTAACTGATATACACTGGCTGTGTTTGATACTGTTTTTTCATTTAAATGGGGCCATCCAATCAGTCACTGCATTGATCTTCTGCCCAAAGTAAGTTCAGGAACAGATTTACCTAAAGCTAATGCTTTGTCTCATGCAACAGTTGTCCCCATCCTTAGAGGGGACAATGCCATCACCAAGGAGGAAATGGGCCCAGAGTCACCAAGTCACTCGGGTGGGGTTCAAACAGCTTTGCCTCCAAAGCCCATGGGTTTTACACATGTTGCTCAAAGGAAGAAAGGGAGGAAGAAGAAGGTGAGCTGGGATTTATAGGGACGTTGGTTTATGGCAATGTGTCTTTCCTGTCCTGGTCTCTAAATGAAACAGGTTTCCTGAGCTCCGGCACTGAGGGAGCCCTCCAGGATCACCTTAACCCTGGCTTCCCCCTAGACAGAGTCCACAGGAAGGGGGTCATGCTTGCCATCACAAGAAGGTGGGTCCCTGGGAGCACTGATGTTTGGTGATCACACACACACACACACACACACACAGAGTCAATGACGAAGTTGAGGACCACGGCACTACTGTTAAGAACTTTAGACAAACTATATATAACAGAATTTATCTGGACAAAGACCGACTAATGCATCAGACAGCACTGAGAGCCAGGAGAGGTTCAGGGAGTCTGCCCAGCAGAGTGAGCAGCCAGCTTCTGCCTCACCTGGATAGGAACTGATCAGCTGGCTGCCTATGATTGGCTGAAACCCAAAATCTGTTACAAGAAAACGAACAGTATGCATATGGACCCCTGAATTATGTTTCAGTTGGTTTATATACTAAGGTAACCTGCGATTTAGTAGGGAGAATTCAAAGTATGAGACAAGAGCAGGCTGTCTGCTAACTACTTAGTTAAGGGTACCAACACCTGGGAAACACACAGGGCCGTTTCCTCTCCGGGGTCCTCCTGCTCAGGCTCTGCCTGAACAGGACCCTGGGGACCTGACTAGACACCAGGCTTCCTTCTCCAGTACAAGGAGGATGCTGAGGCTTTTAATTTAGATTCATCATTATGGTTCCCCGTTGAGCAATTTCTTACCCTTTCACAGTGTCTATTGTAGATTTTGGGTCTTATTTACTCTTTCAGTTTCTACTCCTTAAAATAAAAAAATAAAATAAAATAAAATGTAGTTTCTAGAACATTTAGAAAAAAATAGAATAAATCTCCTTAGGGATGCCCTTTGAAATTAAAGACAGAAGAGGCACGAACACTGCCAGCTCTGAACGCTGTGTCCCGCTGGCCCACGGGGATTGGCAGGGACTCCTAATCCAGGACAGCGGGCACTCGCCCCGGGGGGGCTTCACACTGTAACCCTCCCGCCTTCTTCGCACAGAACAGGAGCAAACTGGGAACTAAGGAAAAGACTTGGCTTTAGCGTAAGTACTGAAAAACAGAAGCTTCTGCCATAATGACAGCAGCAAAATGCCTGCTCCTGGTACAGGGAAAGAATCTGACAGAGTGCCAGCCTTCTCCAAGAAGTCGGCTAAATCCCTCCTTTCCTTGAACGCGGGTTCCTGCGGGCAGTTTTACAGCTTGAAAGCTCCAAAGAGGCTCATTTTGCAGTCCCTGCTTGGAAACCATCCATGATATTGGATAGAAGGCGCCTTTTACACAGACAAAGTATCTGCTGTAGCAATTAGAAATTGAGAGGAAAACTGAATACATTTTTCTTCTATTCCAAAAATTCTTATAATTTTCAGTTTATAAGTAGTGTCCTTTTTTTTAGTAGTGTCTACTTTTGACTTCATTTACATTTTAGTGAGACAAAGGGGAAAACTCTGGTTTATTACACGCTAATATTTTATTTATTTATTTTGGGTACTGGGGATGGAACTTACGACCCTGCACTTGCCAGGCAGGCGCTTACGCCACTGAGCTAAGTTCTGGGCCTAATATTTTAATTTAAGGACAGGAGAATACTTTCAATTCCAAATGACCCTGATCAGCACAGTAGTATCCCCCACGTACCACTGGGAATAAAGCTGATGCAAGCCCTCTCTCCTTACGTTCCACAATTTCAGCAGCTCTTTCAAGCACACAGGCCCAGACAAGCGCTGTCTCTCTATCTTTGATCACTGCTGATGCTAGAAATGAGGGGCTCTCTTGCAGAGACCACCGTTGTCCAGCAAGGAGCAGTGTCCTTCTGTGAGCCCTCTCAATTGGCTTAGCTACAGAAATGGTTACCAGAGGAACAAGTCCTTTCTTCTATTGCTTTTTTTCCTATCTACGTTTTTCCTTTTAGAATTGGACTCCTGCTTAGATCAAATGTCTGTGTGGGCCGCCTGATCCCTGACCCGGCCTGCCTCCTTCTCTTGGAGAAGTCCCCTCCCTCACCTGCCCAGCTGTTCATGAATCCTACAGATCTCTTCCCTTTCTCCCTGCAGCACAGTCGGACAGTCTGACGGTGGCCAAATGAGCCTCCCGATTCTCACTTTCCTTTGGTAACTGCTGGCCCACACGCATTAAGCCTTCCCATTGTCTTGTCCCCGTGCCAAGAAAGTGACACGGGCATTGACTTCATCAGCGCATCCCTGTCAGGGCTTAGGTTTCTCTATCTCATGAGCATCTTCACACTGAGATTAAAAGGCTTTTCAATCCCACTGTCCATACGTCTCCCTCAATACTGCATCTTGGTCACGTGGGTCACACCTGCTCCTGCGGAATGGCTTCTTTGATGCCCTCAGGACAGTGTTCAAAGGACTAGGTTTGCTGTAGGTTCCCACCCCATACATTGCTCCTTGGCCTTCAGTGAGTGGCATTCGGATGGACCACGGGCTACATGGGTCTCTGTATTTGGAAGTACCTCAGAAGTAGTTTCCAATTTCTTTTTTTTTAAGCCAGTCAAATTTAGCAGTGGGGGGTAGTTTCCAATTTCAATCAACCTCGTATAACTTTTCTTTTTCTTGAATTAGCTTTGTTCCTATGGGTGCTCTTTATTTATTTATTTACTTATTTATTTATTTTGGTCTTTTTCCTTTTTATCGGTACCGGGGATCGAACTCACGATTGCCTGTTTGCAAGGCAGGCGCTTATGCCGCTGAGCTAAATCCCCAGCCCCCCTCTTTATTACACTGTATAATCCACCTTCACACCCCAATCTCCCCACAAGTGCCATCCTTAAAAGGTTAGAC